CAAACATACAGTATATTATTTTACATGAAGGCAACTTAGCTCCACCACTGGCATCTCTCTAATCACCTGATCCCATCTAAAAATCTTATCTTGATTCAACTTTTTTATCTCCTTAATTAGTTTTTCATACTTGTTATTACTTACAGGTGCACAGAATGTTCCCATTCCTTTTACCTTTAGACCTAATGTAGATGTTCATTTCCCTTTTATATCAGAAATGGATAAACTCTTCAGATTATTCCTACAATGTTTCCATACTTCAGGCTTTAAAACAACTTGCAATATACAGTATATATCTGGTACTGTACCTTCTGTCTCATCACTAATCCTGTTTCATTAGTTGACCCCTGTACTACAGGGACGCCACTTATAATATTTAATTTGGCTAACACCAAACGATTTAATTCAGCCCAAAAGGGGGCCCATACAAAAGGCGTTAATACTGTACTCCTATAGGAAGTTTTCATAACATTGTTTCAAGTATAATATCCAGTTTTTATCTCAAACATCATCAACAGGTATCTCTTGTTTAGCGTTAAATCACTTTCTTGATAAAAAAAAATTGACACCCTTTCTCACTAAATGCTCGTCAAAATTTGGTTTGGACGGCAGCTTGACTCACAGAAAACTGAGGGTGAGGTTGCCTGTTACATATAATGAAACTGTAAAAGTTGTGGAAAATTCATTACAATTCTATAATGTGGCTTAGAAATAAAGAAAATATAATATAAAACTATAAAATAAGAAATATGAAGAGCATGATTGTGTATGTGTGGGAAATGAACGTATGTGTGGAGGGAATGGGCTGCTGTAACTACTGTATGTCTCCAGCCCACCTGGTACCGCGCTCCCTCCCTTGATGTGGCATCACCGCATACACACGTCATTTAGTCTGCTGAATGACTGCCTGGTTAAACTTTATGATGTCACCGAGAGGATAGTTTGAGTGTGGAAGGAGCTATTTTTTTTTACATAAAATATGTGCTATTGTATTTTATGATCTGCTATGTTAATTTTTTTGTTTATCATAGCAAGTTTTGTTAATTTTTGACATATGCAATTTTAAATTTGTTCGAATTATGCTGACTTTGTGCTCATTAAATCGTTTAACTCTGAACCATATTGCTTATACTCGTATAGAATTAGAAGTTTGGTGTTAATAAATGAATCGTGTAACTTCGAAGCCATATATAACAAACTCTTTTTTTATTATTATTATTATTATTAAGGAGTACAGTACTGTACTGTACTGTACTCAAGTGTTTACCGCCGCGTCATTTGAACCTGTTGTTCGTCCTCTGTGCTTTGCTGTTATCCCTTGTTTGTGATAATTTCTCTTAACATTGGGTTTTCAGGAATGCAACTCCATCATTAAATTAGGATACCTTTATTCCTTTTTTTAGTTCATTCAGCCAATTTTGCTTTCTTTTATTGTATTGTACTACGGGTATTATATGTCTCAATATAATTTGCAAATTTTCTAATTGAATTCTTATCATTATACACAGTAGAACCTCGATTTAAAGCGATTTGATTTAAAATTATTGATTTAAAGCGACACCCACAATTAAGGATAGTGTATACGGTAAATCTAAAGCGAATCTTTCCTATTTTACGCGAGTCAATCTGGCGCATCTAATGGAAATACACACTACTGTATTTTAAATTTTGCGTCTAATGTTTACCACCAGACGCATCTCTGGTCACACTTCACGACTGCCCGCCACCCTCCCACATCCTCAGTTCTCACATTGACGCTCTAGTGAACGGACATACTGTGTGACACTATCTCCTTCTACCATGTGCATCAACCATTACCACTTTGTCCAAGAGGCCAGCCACTACTTCATTAACTACCCCAAAGACCATGAAATCAAGGCAAACAATTACACTGGAGCAGAAAATCAAGGTGCTGAAAGCACTGCAGCGAGGAAATGATGCTTCAAGTGTGGGGCGCCAATTTGGACAGTGATGTGGATAATGAGCTGGTCAAGTTGGGGTCTGCATCTTCAGAGGATGAATTGCCGAAGTAAAGTTGGGTGAAAATCTATTTTTGATAGCATAATGTAGTTAAAAACTAAGTTGAGAGGAAATGAAAGTGCTTGGTGAGTCAGACTAGAGGCGGGCGGTGTGCGGCGCCAGTGCGACCACCCTCTCACATCAGCTGATCGCTTGTAAACATACCATTTCGCATCCCTTAATTTTAGTTGTGTTGATTTATGAGTGTTTGTTTTAGCATACCACAAAAAACAATGTTTTGTTTATTCTAGGAGATGGGCTGAGGTGCATCTGAGTAGACTTAAAGTCTTTTTAGTATTTTGTGTTTCTCTCAAGTACCAAACTAAATTATTCCATTGAAACAACACTTTGATTTAGTGCGAATTTGGTTTAAAGCGACCTCTCTTGGAACGTATCTCGTGTTATATCGACATTCTACTGTATTATCGTTTATTCATATCATAATTTAGTTTCAATTCTCTTGTGTGTCTTTACCTTTTCTCTCAAGCCCTCACCCTCAGTCAGTTCACAGTGAAGTCAGTTGTCTGTTCACATCATTCACAATTCAGTACAGTACCTAAATTGTTCCTCATATCTCATTACTGTACTCCTCTTAATTCTCCCAGAACAATTAATTTAGCTTTACACTAAGCATTTTGTGATATAATCTAACATTTTCCTTTCCCAGTGTTGATGTTATCTTTTTCCAGAGGCACTCTCTATTTATTGTGCACCACAAGGTAGTTTGTCTGTCACTGAAACTTCTTTTTCCATCTGTATCCATCACAGTGTGTTTTGTGCTATAATTGCAATTATTTAAACTGAAAGGGCTACATATCTGCAATTTATTATAGCATGTGAATGTGGATATTAATGGATGTTTGGAAAAAGATTTGTTATACACATGATTTTCCATTCACAGCTACTGTAATTACTGTCAACACATTTTGCCCAAATGCCTCACATAACTTGCAGGCTAATGTCAGGAAGAAAACCTTTCCAGGACCATGTTTTGTCTGCCCCCAGACTTTAATATTATAAAAAAAAATCTGTCATGTAATGGTCAGAGCATATACAGGAGTACTGTATACACTACGCTACTTTCCTACATCCATAAATAAACATGACCTGATTACATACCAGCTTCCTTAGCTTGGCCTCGGTTTCTCAAAATTTTACTGCACTCAAATTATTAAGAAATAAAAAATAAACAAATTGTGTTCACTGCAAGAAACTTTTGTATCAGACATATGTTTCATAACAAAATATTAAGTCTTCTTCTTCTTGTCTAACCTTCTGTGTCTTTACTGTTTTTCTTGACCTAATTTACAAAAGCCACAGTTACAGTATATGACAGACTTGTTAAAGACTTTCAGTGGGCATTTGTTACATAGACACATTCAGTCTTATGGCTTATACAGTAAACACAATATTTTCACTAAAAATCTTTAGTTGCAGGACTTAGAAAAAATAATTATTTAATCTGGCAAAGGTCTCAATACGTATATGCATTTTTAGGTCATGCCTTTGTGAGATGTCTTAGATGCATCAAACAGTGCTGATTATTTTCAAGACACCATACCCAGCATTCTGCACATCCTTCCTCTAGAAGTTTTTACAGTTTTATGGTAGTCAGTTCTCTCACTGGTGATTCTGTAATTACAATGAAGTGGTAATGTCACAGATTTTAACAGTACAGTATTTGTTACTACAGTCAGGATATTATGCAGCTTCTTGTTAAATTCTTTTTATTCATGTTTGTGAATATGCTTATTTCTTTTGACTTTGTGGTCTCTGTACATCATAATAATTTAGCCATAATTATTCAGTGATTTGCAGTATAATTTCTGACTGTAAAGGACTAAATTTGCATGACTTATTGGACAGCTTGCTTATGCTAAAAAGGCCCTGAATTTTGGTCAGATTTTGCTTGTCCAGTTTGCTTAGAAAGTCAAATTCCTCAGTGAAAGCCATATCACTGGTAGATTGGCTGTTTTTTGCAATAGAGGCTGGCATTATCACCAAGTAAGGGCCAGTTCTATGTTCTCTTCGTTGTTCTCTACTAACAGTCACCTTCTCTGTCCTCTAGGAGTGTGAACAGGAAATTTTCGAGAAGGGCATATTGGTGGAGCGCCTACAAGAGAAAACCTCAAAAATCAGTAGCATGCTCATTAACCTTAAAAATTATTCTGAACCGAATTATAGTTCTCATAGTAAAAATACATCCTCAAGTCATCCTGGCCAAAAGTGAGAAATTGTAACAATTTAAGCCAAAACATTTTGACACTTTTATAGGATGTTTAGGATTTTGAGTCAAGTTTTAGTGATACAGGTAGACATAGTTTTCTCTGTTAGGCTACCAAGGAACTATGACCAGGAACAAGCAGTGCTTATGTCTTCAAAATTATTTTGTTTGACATTATCGCATGTCTCTCTCTCGTGTTTGGAAAAATATGGCAAATGTCATAACTATTAGAACCGGTACTACATTTCCCTCGTGATTTGCATATCAGCAACTGCAATATGTGTTGCCTTACCATTAAGATCGTGTCTTTATTTTCTTATACACTTTCTTGTACTCTTACTGTGCTCTTTGCAATTATTTTTATCACTGAACTTCTTGTAATTTGTGTGTAGTTTGTGTCAGACATCCATGCTGCTTTTTCTAAACACTGAAACACTTCAAATTAAAGTCACATGATTGTGGTACAGTACAGTATATGAATTCACCACATTAGATTATGTTTGGTCATATGCCAAGGATCCTCACTTCATCTGTGCTAAACTGTTAGTGTGATGGCTCTTACACTGAATACTCACTTGCTTTGGGAATGATTAATTGGAAAAGGCTGTATGTATTGTACTTTTATTTTCTCTGTATTCTTGCACTCTCCTGTAGTCTTTATATCCGTGGTTGTCATAAGTGAAGAAAACTGCAAGGAATGTTTACAAAGAAAACAATGGGTGAAAAACTTTGGTATCCTCTCCTATGTGTTTTTCAGGAATGTGAGAGCTCATTAAAACAGAAAACTGAACTCATCGGTCGGCTGGAGGCTAAGGCAGCAGAAATGGCAGAGACCATACGCAATTTGGAGTCACAGTATGTATTCCAGGGCCCCCAGTCTTCTAATGAACCCTCACAAGCAGGACAAAGATCTCGATCGAAGTCCTACTTTGAGCCATCTACTAACAGTGAGGACAAGGAGCAGGCAGAGGGGGAGGGGCAGAAGGGGGTGGGCAAATCAGCCAGTATGTTTGAGCTTCAAAAAAAGGCAGCTGGTAAATTGTGATATGAACATCTGTGAATTAAGTAGCTTGATGGCTTACTTCCTTGGATAAGTCTTATATATAATGGAATTGCTTTTTTATGTACAGCTGTATACATTAATTTGCTGTGATTCACCTTCCTTGCATGGACTCCAACACGTGACCTCCAACATAGTGTCAACTACCACAGTAATCATAGGACTGAACAAATTCAGGATTTCAAATGTTTATGCTGCATTTAAGTACTTGACTAGTAAGATGAAGGTTAAAATTTGTCTTATTCAGATAGTCATGGGTGTCTGTCATTTACATGATAAATATTGAGCTCTACTGTAGCATTTTTTATGTAATCATAATAAACTGAAATGTCTTTGATTGGAAGAGTAGGAATGCTTTAATAGATAAACAAAAATTGGCAAACCTTCAGCCAAGTGTTGTACATTATCAGCTGAGGCAGCCATGATCACATAGATAATTTGTTTGTGCTGATAAACTGAACACATTTCTGCTGAAGCTATGCCCTCACTTTACCAGTGTTTGTTGTGATAACAATGTAGTATTATCTCAAAACATGAAATGTACCACACCTACCAAATATTGCCAAATAAAGGAAATTATACCCAGGTGGAGTTTTATTATCACTCCAAATTTAACATTTTCTCACATTTGGTTGCCTCTCTTTCCTTATTTGGTTTGTCAAATTTTGTTCATCTAAGCTTTAAATACAACTTCTGAAGATATTTTTAGCCATACTGTACTGTATTTTTTTATTCTTTATTATTTACAGAGGTCAAGATGTATTTTTTTTATTTTAGATTAGCAATAAGTACATTACTTTTTGTTTTCATACATTGTTCATTATCAAAATTATAATTTTTAGTTTTATACATAAAGGTTTCAACCATCAGGTATGAGGAATGCGTGATACAGAAAGATGCCGCCAAGCAAACAGCTCAGAAGCTCAGTGATAAGGTTAGTTTCTTTATAAGACAGTAATGAGTTTGAGCAGTACTGTACAGATTCTTATAATGGAATACCCCCAATTTTACTTACTGACAAGGATGTTATCAAAAAGCTTAAGCTGTTTAATTACATAGTGTACGTTTGTAGTGCTCCAGTGAATATGATTCTCTTTTTAATCATAACTTGTCTTGTGCAACCAAAATATTACATGTACAGTCGGGGTCAAAAGTCCTGTCAACACTCCTGCTGCTCCACCAACCCCAAGATTCAGACTCGTGAACCCGAAGCCTTCCTGGACAGAATAATGCATCAGTGTCTCCCGCTTTGGGTTCACAGTCTGAATCTTGTTGTTCGTGGAGCAGCAGGAGAGGCGACAGGACTTTTGACCCCCGACTGTACATCTATTGAGAAATGCAATACTGTACCATACTGAAATTTTAGTGTTACCATGGTGTAAAAAATAGTCCCTTTAGTTTCACCAGCAGCCCCTGAAGATTGACGAAATTTACAAAAAAAAATATTTATTCCAATGGTTATTGAAAGATGTGCCAACATTTTATTATAGTCACTTTTCAGCTGACCATAACTTTTCTAGGGTTGTCATGGAAACACCCTAAATATATCTGATCAGAAAAGAATCGCATGGAATAATGCTTAACCCACCAGTAGATAAGTAATGGTTTGCTAAATTTGTTTTTAGGTTATTAAATGAGTATTTGTACTAAAACCTGTTTGACTTTATAAATTAGTTCAATAATTAGAGGAGTTCATGTATACAGTGAACCCTCACTTTACGCGGTCAATTGAACCCTCGGCGGCCCACGTAAAGTGAGAAACGCGTAAAGTGAACAACATAACATATGGGATTAATTAAAATAGAGACCGGGCCGACTCCCAAACTCCACTTTTTTTAGACACAATACCTACGTTGCAGTAAATAACTTCTTAATTTTATGATGGTATGCACACACAATTAATAATTAAGAGAAATATCAATAATATTAGGTTTTTTAACACTTACATTAGTAGAAAAGATGGCTGGGCACACGGGGATGGGGGGTTGGTTCCGAGGCAGAGGGCAGATTATTGGCCCTCACCTGTATCACTTGTATCACTATCCACCACAGAGGCTTGCAGGGCCTCTTTGTCAAACCCCTCAAAGTCCATATAAGTCCATATCCTCACTATCATTATCACTATCACTGACTTGGGCCGGCTGTGGTGGGTGGCGGGTGAAGAACTCGGTAATGTTTTGATGACTGGGCGACCTTGTGCGCACCCTTCTCGCGCCGCTCTCCGCGTAAAAGGGTACACACACCACGCAAAGTGAGCATTCCGTGTTCGGCAGGGTACTGTGTAAACGTGGAAACGCGTAAAGTGGGACCGCGTAAAGCGAGGGTTGACTGTACTGTATTTTATGCTCATTGCAATTTCAGTAATTTTATTAATTCCATAGCTTTTCAAAATTATATAAGAGTACAAGGCTTATTTTTAAATATTTGCATGTACAGTCTCTCCTTGAGTTACGACATATTCGACTTACGACAACCCGGACATACGACTGCCGTGGTCGTATAAAATATTTTTCACATTACGTATTTTTGAGTCCCGACGTTAGTGATCGCTCTGTGTACTGACAAAATTTTCGTTTGTAATTCCCTTTAAAATGGCTGGCAAGCGTAAAAGTGAGAGTTCTTGTGGTGCTGAGAAGAAAAAGAGACACCCATTTTAGAATTTCTATGTATTATTTTCGCCTTTTCGACTTACGACCTGGTCGTCGGGACGGAACCCCGTCGTAAGTCGAGGAGAGACTGTACTATACAGTATCAGTATTTTGAATTCCATGTCTTTAACCTGAATTCCTTCCTCATATACTGTATAATTAGTGATCAAGTACTTAAAGCCTCAAAATGGCCATTTAATAATCAATCCATGTGTCCTGGGGATGCATGAAGTCCATTATAAATATTTTGGAGTAGCCATGAGCCATAGAATGATACCGTATTTCACCAGTAATAATTCACCATCAGATATTTCACATCAGCTCAACTACCCACATTTATCAGAATATTCATCTGGCCGCCTCGAGAAGGATACCCATGTGTCTGGTAGATGCAGACATGAATATAAACCTACAGATTCTTATATACCAGTAGCTTCAGAACTACAGTACAGTATATCAGGTATATAATAATCACAGTCACTTTTTCACCTCTAGTACTTTCTTCAACTTTTCAGCAGTCAAGATCCCTACACCACCTGACCCAGAATCATTATCCTCCCAGTAGATTTTATACCAGTCATTCATACCAGTAATCAACCTTGCTGATCCTCCCTTTCATTCTAATCTCGTTTCTATTTCAAGCCTCACATACCAGTAGTTCTAACATTCAGACTTCCTTTTCTTAACTCATCTACATTGGGTTGCTTCACTTTGTTCACACACAGTATCCTTGGACATGCATTTGTACAGTGTTTAGGTGATTTTTGTTTAATATGTTTTCTTTTCTTGTATGGTTGTGTTGTCATAATTATTATTACTGTGCAATGCAACCAAGAAAATATAACTGGCAACTACTGTAGTGTGTTCCACGGGGAAGGTTCAGGCACATACATGAGCAATCTTTCACTCCAAAATTTTGCTCGTTAAACTTAACATAATTTTCGTACCAAAAACAATAAGGTTGTTAAACAGAATTCATGTTAATTGGCCACTTGTTTAGTAGGACCTTACCGTACAGTATTCACCAATCATATACAGTACTGTATATAGTAGTAACAGCTGTGTAGTACTCTATGTGTCCTGAAGCTTTTATGTACAAAAACTGTGCAGTTATATTTAACGTATATGGGTAGTCAATACACTATATACTGTATATATCATCACTTAAAAATACACTTTGCAGTACTGTACACTTAGAATCTAAAACTTTACTACAGTATATTGTGCATAAATAGATACTGTATATTGGCCATTTGTATAGGCAGTTACCGTATCAAAATACCAATTACTAAAGCATTCTGGATAGTAAAGTTCCAGACAATATATAAATATGATTTAACACAAACGTGCAGCAGGAGATAATGAAAAGCGAACATTACCTGAGCTCGAGGGTGTGGCCATCAGGCAGTCACGGCTAACCCACAGAAACATGGAAGTGGCCATATAACAGTAATGATGATGAATAAATACACAATTTACGCAAAGAAAACTTGGAGATGATGCGTAGGGGATGCACACTGTAGTGATCTAACAACGTGACTGAGCACAAAATGGCACCTTATGGGATGCCTCGCCCAGCCACCTTACGCCTACTTTGCCAGTCTCTTCCGTACTACACCACATTTTTTTACATCTATAGAAAAAAATACTCATCCGCAACCCAAAAATGGACTTAGGGAGAGAGTATCCATAAAGTTGGAAACCCGTAACCCAGGGAGTACTACAGTATCTGTACTTATATTTCCTATGTTTGTCATTAAACTTTTATATATGCAGGGGCAGATCCAGGAATATCAAAAGGGGTGGTCCAAGAAGTTGTGGGTGGGGGAACATGGTGAGCAGAATGAACCCACCCAGCCATTTTTGTGTGTGTGTGTGGGGGGGGGGGGGGGACTATAAGACCACCCTCAGAATTTTTTTGAAATCTGACCAATATTATAGGCATTTTGAGGCCATGAGCACTTTATATTAGGAGATATTCTGAGGTCAATAGTAATTACTGGCACTTTTTACTATAGAAAAATGCCTGAGTATAATATTTCATTAAAGAAAATTATTGGAATTTTCTGATGAAAAGGAGGCATCTAAGCCCCCAGAACCCCCCTAGATCCGCCCCTGATATGTATTAATTTTCATTTGACAGTACTGTACAGTATAATATAATTCTTGTATTTGTTGGCAATGTTTAATAATTTTATTTTTTAAGTATCATGTTTTGGGGCTTAATTTTTTTCTTTTAGGAACATATATTTACTAGTAAATTTGTGCTGAATTAAGATACAGTATTATGTTGTTCAGTATAGATTTTTAGTTCTGTCCATTGCAAATGTACAGGATCTTCTGCTAAATGTATCAAGGCCATTATCTAATAACCAGGCTCTACCAGGGGGAAATTTTGTAGCATGGATCTCACAAATCACTCGTTCCCTTCAATTAGAAAATGGGATTTCTTACTTTAATCTTCCAATTTTCAGATATCAGATGGAGAAATTCATTCTTCTACCATAGAAACAGACCTAAAGATAGAGCGGGAATGGCGACAGTCATTGCAAGAAACCCTTATAAAGGATCGTGAACTTAATTCTGAACTTAAACAACAAATTGCAAATCTTCTGGAAAAGCAAGAGGTAGGTATCCCCAATCATATACTACAATAGTATTTTCTGTACTTTAAAACATCACTGTTTGTTTATACACAGTTGTGTTCATTTCAATTTGCTTCAATTGTCTGATAATCCTTGACAGAATTTTGACTTTACACAGTTGTAGTAATTATAATTTTTCATTTCATTGTAGGAATATAGCATCTTAAAAGGAGCTCACATGCAGTTAATTTCTACTGTGGAAAACCAAGAAAGAACTCTTGAAGAATTAGGTGCCCATCTTTCAGAATCAAAACTAAAGATGGCTGACCTTCGAGATGTTAGTAAGTCTCTGCGAGAAGCTCAGTGGGCACCTGATAAAGAAGCTACCAATTGCCTGCTGTGTGAGAAAGAATTCAGCATCTCCCGGCGCAGACACCACTGTCGACATTGTGGGAACATATTTTGTCACAGCTGTAGTGATAATACTATGCCTCTTCCATCCTCAGCACGACCAGTCAGAGTTTGTGACACTTGTCACACCCAGTTGCTGCAGCGTTACTCCAATTCTGAAAATTGATAGTCTTGCAGTTTGCATTTAGAGATCTGAGATAATGGTGATAAATTTTAATGATGATTTATTCTGTTTGGTAATATGCATTATTATTCATACTGCATGAAGCAAAATGCATGAGAATGAATGTTATACAGTATACTTGTAACTATTGCATATACTGTATATATATATATATATTACCGCAAAAGTCAAAATTTATATACTGTGTACTGTATATATAAGTAATATCTCCATTAGCGGGAATCCTTCTTAACTGGAACTTTCCGATTGCCTGCTTTGAGTCATCTCGTTAACTGGAAATCTCTCATTCCTGGAAGTGCTCTGCACCAATTATTCCGGCTAACAGAGACATCACTGATATACTATATATATACAGGGCATATACTGTATATATACCTGTATATTCCTTTTTTTTTCTTATGAGGCTTAAAGGCACTAAGGATAGCTTACTACAGTAACAATTCAGGTTTGAATAGTCTGGTATAATTCTGCCATGCACGACCTCTTTATGCAGTCTCAGTATACGCTCATGATTTTTACTGTCACAGGGCTCTAACTTATTAGTCCATCATAACCTGTTAAGCCAAAAGTCAAAAGTGCAAGCAGTTTGTAACTTTACTTAAGGTATGGGCCCTGAATATATTAGTTTCATATTTTTATATGTGACAACATTATTATAAACAGAGAGTGATAAAACACATGCATGTGTGTTGAAATCTGTAAACAGTATTTGTGTGTGTGAACTAATAAACTGATTTGTATTTATGTAGATCCACGACACACATACGGTACATAAAGCACACCATGTTCCGTTTGTCAAATTTGGGGATATTTAAGGTTTAATAGTTTTGAAATTTTGTTTAATATCAACACAGATTCTCACTGTATTGAAATTTAATTAATAAGTACAAAGTAATTTCACACTGCAAAACCACTCAGTGGCCAGCCACACTATCTCAAACTCAATATTGTCTTGTCAATGAAGCCTTTGTCTATTTCTTAGTCTTATATTGTCACTGCTGCATGTTCCTATTATTCTATCTTGCTCTTCCTTGTCCTCATCAGCTAATCTGTGCGGCTTTCCACGTGGTCTTGTTTCTCATTGCATGCAAGTGACAAGTACAGTACTGTACTCTACATATGTGATAACCAAACCTTCGTATAGAATTCCTCCATAATGATCTGAATTTTTGCTTCAGTCTCAAGCATTCTAAAGTGTGGACATAGTAAATGCCTGAAGTGTGTGAGAAAAAATCTACATAAAACGTATCCCTTCAGTCATGAAGAAAACAAGGCATTAAAGTTATACATAGTTAAATAGACACTTTAGAGCTAGACAGATATTTTAGAAAGTTTATACATCATTGTACTGTATACATTGTTATACTACACTACATTGCATTCATTAAGTACAGGTATTATGCAGTGAACTAAAGAGAAGTTAAATATGGGTGAGGGCTCTTTTTCAGTAATAATGTGAATTAGTTGATTTTCAGTGCAATGTTGCTTTAAGCAGCATTATATTATAGTGCTGTAAATTACACAGCTTGATATTTTAGTGCTGTAAATTACACAGCTAAAAAAAAATTTCCCTGAGAAAGAAATGTAGAAACTATAGAGCTTTCGCTTGATACAGCAAGAATATTGTGGTACTGTATAGGTACGTACTTTGAAAATATGGACAAGATAGACAAAATAAGAATAATCAAACATGTGTATTTAAATTAAAGGCATGCAAATAAATGTAAAAGCAAGCTAAAAGCTAAATGGAGAAGCAGTATGGGAGAGGAAAATATTGTCATTGGAATCTGCAAAAGTTCAATGTCAAGCTTTATGAGAATTTTATATGAATCTTACTGCTTTGTAGTGAGACAAATTCATTTGAATATGGATGGTTTTTAACTCAATGTGAATTTAATTGCAGCTGTTTTCATGTTGGATAAAAAATCATGAATACACTAGAGTAAGGAATATTGCATCTGCAGCAGGTTCCAGTGATGAATATGGCAGGCATTAATGTCTCTTCTGGGTGAAGTAAAGTTAAAAAGGATTTGCCTTGGCCATTATGCTACACAGTACAATTTGTTTATTTAATAAGGTAATAAAGTACTGTACTGTACAAGTATTGACATACAGTATTTGAAATAGGTTGATTAAAGATTGCTTGCAGGTTATAATTCATTAAAATATAGCCTTATTAAAATACTGTATAGTAATCAGCTTTGGTTTTGTCAGTAAATTCCAGGGATAAAGTCCTCTAATTACTATGAAGAGAGGTAAAATGTTTTCCAAATATAGAATTCTCCCAAATTGGTTTGAAATGATTACAAAGTTACTGGCCCTTACTTTTAACCCTTCCACTGGAGCGAGCTTAAGATGTGGCACCCAGCTTGTGTGTGTCTGGCTTTCATAACTATATCATTTATGATAATATTTTTGACTGGGTCCGTGAATATTTAACAATTAAGAAATCGATTGTTTATACACTGATTCGCAACTCATGGAATCTGCTGGCATAAGCTAGACTGTGCTACTAGATGCATGAGTATAATGATAATAGTGTAATAATATAATAATAGTTGGTCTTTTGTTTCTCAAAAGTGCCAGTTCTTCCAAAGAATTCACTAGTGCTCGAAATACTACAAAGTACAGTTACACCAATACAGTACCTTAGTTTGTATCATTTTTTATGTTAGCATACAGTAATACTGTACAGTATATCACCAAAGTCCATGTTACCCAGTAAATCCATGAAATAACCTGGATATTTCCATCACTTCTGCATCACCACAAGCTTTCGTACAGGATTCTCCAATATTCTGCATAAAACTGATGCATACAGTACTCAATAGAAGTTGGTGACTAACTGCGTGTCATGTCAGTGGATAACATTACAACTACTGTAATGTCTTTGGTTCAGCATCATGCTTAACAGTTTTGAAACAAAGAAATTATATATTTAAGCAGCTACAGTGAATAGAAAATGTAAAGTGATCATATTCTGTATGTACCAGGTGCAGTGAAAGGGTTAAAGGAACTTAAGTATTTAACAAATTGGAATACTGTATTCTAAACTTCCCACCCCAAATTTGTGAAGTAAGTTATAAAAAGAAAATAATTTATTGTTGTTAGAACCTAATAAATTTAATTAAGAATTGAAGGGACATCCATTCATAATTATCACGATTGAATAAAATAAAATACTGTATTGTGCATTTAAATGAACAAAGTGAATGACTACTCGAAAATGTTTTTAATATGACACAATATAGCAACTATATAGCCATCCTTACTACACTGATGTTCCTGCCACTTGGATAGTCAAAAACCTGTTGCTTATGCAGTAGAATAATGAAAATCCGCTTTCCTATAACTCATAAAATCTGGAGTCCAACACATGAGTTCCCAGAGTTGGCTGTTCTTTTTTACTGTGTGCTGTCATAGCCCACGTTATATATTATTCTAGCTTTGAAGGTATGACACTGAAGATTGTAATTTTCTCATATATTTGCCATATTTTTTTTATTTATTCCTTGTAATGATGTCTAAAAATCATCCAAGTGATTAAATCAGGTTTAATATTGCAAAGGGAACGCATATTACACTTACTCTACCATCATTTGGTGACCTTCATAGGCTTGTATGATTGCTTTCAACAAAATTAAAGCAAAGGTGTACCAGTACTTATTTCTAGGCCACTTTTGTGTGAAAAGGTCAGTTTCAGCACAAATTAAAAACTACCGAGTCTTGAAATTTTACTGATGGATAGTTGAGTAATACTCTACATTAAGTATGGCATTAGTTACCCAGTACATCAGAACAAATGATGAGAAACTCTGTTATGATATGTTCACCCCACATTTGGCCCATGTTTCTAAAATCAATTAAAAAAACAAAATTTGCCCATTTCTTGGTTTCAAGGATTATAGATTTTTTTGTATTCCACTGTACAAAATATAAGGATATACTTGTAATTTATTTAGAACTGTAATCTATGCATTAATGTACTGAAATATTTGTCTGCATACAGCCACACACCATCCACACTTGATTTTTGAGCCCTTCACTCACATTTTATTTAAATATGCAATGTATTGTTATGAAGACAAAATCCTGTATATCTCATTAGTCAGCCTTTTAAGCCAGAAAAAATATATATATATATATATATACAGTGTGTATATATATATATATATATATATATATATATATATATATATATATATATATATATATATATATATATATATATATATATATATATATATATATATATATATATATATATATATATATATATATATATATATATATATATATATATATACTGTATATATAATCTGCTTAAAATTATTTTATTGTATATGCAGATATATGATGGTGCTATGTAATATAAAATTGTTAATGTTGTTTGCTCACTTACAGCTGGATGAAAGTTTTGCAGCAAATATCCTTCTTCAGGATAATGGCAGTTAAAGATAAACTGTAGTAGTGTATACAAATTACTGGGTTTACCTGCACAGCAATTTGCTTCAGCTCAACATCAAAATAAGTGTACTGTATTCATTAGATAAAGTTGTACTTTCAGTATGAGGGTGAATGTGAAATATATTGTTCAATTTAAAAGATTTGCCTTTGTGATCAAAATTAAACTTTTTTCAAGAAAAAGCCTGATATGAGATACTGTACTGTATACTTTGCAGTTTTTCATGAAAACAGTGAATTATGTTTATCTGTTACTGTAGAAAACTGTTTCTTGTGTAAAATTAAACATAAATTATGTGTACAGTTTATTTATTAATATGAAATAGATCTTATCAGTACTGTACTGTAATTTAGCTGTACATACCTTTATACAAATATTAAGAATATTTCTCTTCCTTTTACATAACTTAGAAAGAACAATTCTTTTCTTCATATACAGGTGATAAAAAAAAATCTAAAAATGCCTTTTAAGTTTGTTTTATATAATGAATTATGATTGAAAGGAATGGAATTATTGGTATGTATCTGTATTGTGTATTTCAAGTACAGTTTACTGTGTCAAAAAATCAATTACTTTTGCCTATTTTAATGTAGGGAAGTGTAATGTTTTAAACTTGTTGCAACTATCCTTTATTGTGCATGCCTCTTATTTGTTATTTATTATGTTGTTGAAGTGAAAGGTAACAATATAAAAACTGATGTACAGTACTGCCATTTTATGTCTTATTTTTATATCTGTTGCATTTTATACTTTCGTAAGTAATAGACTAATTCCAAATTTTACTAATGGAATATGACAACTTTTGATATTTATTTGCTCTATTGCATTTAAGATTATAATTCACTCATTAGCAGTGAGCATACAAAGCAAAAATATATGTCTATATCAATGGCCTCTTCCAGCATGTAAAACAAACTGATCCATACACTTTTATCCAAATACGTATTAAAATTTTTCATTTGTTATTCTTCATGATGTAATGTTCTCCAGATTGGTTGTGCTGATACTTGAGAAAGTAACCCACAGTTTACTCCCTTCACTTCCGGTACACAATTTAAAATCTAAGAGCAATTGAGATGTGACTGTAGCATATTGCCCATTACTGAAATCAGATAACAGTAAGTCCTCTTTTAACATCTATATGTATTTGCCCGCAGACTTAGTGTTATGAATGAGGGATGTGTTCCGAGGGTAATTTTGGTCATACTGATGGTATATGTGCTCAGAAAAACCGTCAAGTATTAAAGATTTTATTAATTTAAGTCAAAGTATAAGTACAGTACTGTACCGTACTGTATGATATCTTCGTTGTAAAGCAAGGGCATACTTTGTGCTCCCTCAACTGATGTGTTGTTCCTGGCGAGGCAGGCGAAAAACTGTTAGCAGAGATTCCACAACAAAAATTTCTGGTTACCTACATTATTCAAGTTAATTAAGTTGTGTGAAAATTTTTTGTGTCTTTATATGGTGGGAGGAAACTGTGGAGTGAAGCTGTGGGAAGACACTGTGGGTTCACCTCCCAACTGATGTGCACATTCTCAGGAGATCTGTCAATCACTGCCCCTGGATTAATTAATTAACATACATACATACATACATACATATACAGGTATACAAAAGGATTTTAAGGTTACCTGCAAAATTCATGTTTATCAACTTGACCAAAAAATTTCTTATCTTCATAACATGTAAGATTACTGTGATTAAGACCAGTGAATAAGAAAATTTGATCCAATACTGTACTGTATAAATCTGTTCTATGAGATGGTGAGGAAGGGTTGATTGTCTCCACATTGTCATTCATCATTCTGGCCACCACATTTACTGACAATTGTTTGTCACTTTCATATTTGGTACTGTATTATATTATATTTATGCTTTTCAGGTAAATTCATTCATAAATTTAAAAAGCAATTTATATGTATGTACAGTAGTGTTTAAATCAGGATTGCTGTCCCTTTACACACCCTGTCCCTCAAACTTGCAAACCATTACCGATCCCTTTGTCTCTATCCCTGATACTGTACAGTACAGTACTGTATTTGTAGACAGTTCATTTTGTCTTTCTCTCCTTCCATATGTGTCATATTTACACATGGACAATGTATTTGGAAGTGAGCTTTTGGTATCATTAAAAAAAAAAATTGGTGCAAAAATTTAAATGGTTTGTCAGATCCCTGACATGAATTATGAATTTAGTGTGGAGAAGGTGCCTCATATATTAATTCATGTGTAGAGTAGACGAGGAGTTAATTCATGTGATGATCACTAGGTGCCAGGATTCACATGGTGAGTGTGCTGCATCACTTCTCGTGACACTGCTCAAAGTGCTGTAGCGATAGAAGCGTACAAATTTGGAATTTTTCAAAATAACTTTACTGTACTGTACTTTGAAGTAATGCATTTAAATTGGAATTTGGTTAAGTGAAATGATGTAAATAGAGGATTTACTGTAATATAGTTGAATTAAAAACTAACAATGAAAATAATATTGTGCTACAAAGATTTTTGTTTTAAGAATACTGTACCTGTAATTACAATTCAAGAGTCAGATGTTATCAACTCTAAAAAAAGTTTAAATATAATGCAGTTACTGTACGTATGAATGTGAAGAAAAATAATTACGTGATGTCTGTCTTACTGAAAATGATATTCTGGCTTTGAAATATAAAAACTTTAAAGAAGGCACAGTCCTTATAAATACAAAGAAGAAACTCATTATTAAACTGAAATATTCAATACTTATAAGAGTATTAATGATTTACAATAACATATTGATCTGTGGGATGTACAACTTATTAAAAAGAAAATGCATACTGCATTGACATTTTCACTAAATGAACAGTGAATTATCCAGCTAGGTGTAAGCTGTGAAGGTTTTCTTGTGAAAAATAATTAAAGTCTAAGAGATTGTTTCTCTTGATCTGTTTCTCTTGATCTGATTTTGTGTGAGCTCATAAAGGAGCAGTGAAAGCAAAAAATGTCATATATTTATTGATTTTTATACTAAAAGACGTAGGTGTTATATTTCAGAAAATTGTATATGAATATGTTTTGTATGGACAGTGTTGTATTAAATAAAATTATTTTTGGGATTGTGTACTTTCATATCCATGCCATTGTGGCATAGGCTATGTAGGAGATCTCGTATTAAGGTTGGAGATGAGAAGGGAAACTCACAATGGCGTTTTCTATAAATATATATATTATGTACAATGCAGTGCTAGGGAGTTGCTGTGTGGTGAGGAGCTTGTTGAGAGGAGGTCTTGTCTGTTTGAGAACGTTGAGTAGAATCCTCTTCACGGCGAGGCTGGGGGGATTTATACAAGTCTGCCGGAAGTGAGCGGCGCTGCTGATTGGCTGAGGTGAAAGGCGGTAACTGGCCAATCACCACACGGTCCGAAAGCTAGGCTTGGGCTGAGAAACTCGCCGCGGGGTCCGCTGGTCAGCGACAAAATGGCATTTGGCAGTTGTAGGGGAGAGTATCCACTACAATACTCCCCCTCCCCTCCAAGCACTGCAGGAAACTTGTTGTCGGCAGGGTTGTATTCTACATGTGAGACATTACGGGCGGGGGTGTGAACCACTCAGCCGCTACAGGTGACGACTCCGTCTAGTGACACAAAATCTGTGGGAGAAGCAAAGGGAGAAGCAGGGTTGTAGATAAGAGAAGGTTGAACAGGCGAGGAATGTGGTGCTTCTCTCACGGCAGGTGCAAAGTCCTCGGGGGCGCCGGGTGGGGTGTCTGGGTCCAAAGGTCCGGATGCAGGATCCTCATCAGGAGCAGTAGGTACCTGAGGATGAAAAGAGGGTACCCAGAAATGTTGTGGGCGAGGTGGTGCTGGTTGAGGCAATGGTGGGCAGACTGGCGAAGGAGGTGTGGGATGAATGGGTTCAGGGCGAAGGGAAGGCTGACAGGGGGCAGTAGCCTTGAATGCAGAAACTGACTGTCGTAGTGTTTGCAGTAGGTCGTGACGGGCAGCAGGAGTGAAGTGGTCGAGGTCAAGAGTAGGTGAGAAGTCCATGGGGAGGCGAAGGGACTTGCCTAATCCACATGGAGGCAGCTCTCATCGGATCAACAGCTACAGACAAACAGAAGTACGTCGCCCTGGTCTGTTCCCTGCTCACAGAAGTCACCACACAAGAGGCGATACCAGCGACCTGTCTTCAAGCAACATGGAAGACTGGCTTATCCACACAGAAGCAGCTCTCATCGGCTCTACAACTACTGTCTCTACACCGCAGGTTAGACACCCTAGAGCAGCACTGTTTCTCCTAGCAGACACCAGCTCCTTTTCCTGCCCCCAAGCACCACGTCCTACCGACCCCAGCACACCCGTCCTGCCTCAGACGCCGACCCCGGCCCAGCAGTAACCCCTGCCGCCCCTGACGCGGCCTCTGTTCCTGAGTGCGGACCCACACACCCCTCTTTTCTCCCTCAGGTACTCCCTGCTAATGTCCTGCACCCTGCTGC